GAAGGAAGGAAGGAAGGAAGGAAGGAAGGAAGGAAGGAAGGAAGGAAAATTTCTATGCTCACTGACAGTTTCCCATAAGGACATTCAATGGGAAAGCCAACAGGAAGTCAAAGATTGCTCCTGCTCCCTCTGAATTTTTGCCAGCTGATGGCCATTCTGCCCCTCTAAGGAAACATCTCTGAAATGATAACCCAATGGGACACAGGTTTTTTTAGTATTTTATTATAGCTTGCTTTAGAAAGAAGGTGAATGGGCACTTTTCCTGTGTTGAACATTTTTGACACTTTCAAGGGAGCGAGGTATTTGAAGCACAAATACTTGAAATGTTTGTAGCAATTTACTTGGCAGACAATCAGCCCCTATTCTCAACCTTACTTTATTTTGCTTTTTATAGTGGAAAAAACCAACAGAAGTTCTTGTCTGCCCTCTCCTCAACATCCCCAGAATATGCCTCTTACATTATCTCCCAAGAGATCCAACAACAACAGGAGGAAGAAGAGGAGGAAGAGCTGTGGCCCGACACATTATTGCCCGAAAACATGGACCTGCTGGAGAAAGCAGAGAGGAAATACAACAAGAAGAAGAAACAGCAGAGGAAACAGCGCTTTCGTCAGTTCAATGACCTTTGGGTACGCATCGAGGAAAGGTAATGCGTTTCCGAGAAATAGTAAAAAGGGCGCCCTTTAAGAGAAACATAATTTGTTTATTGGTTTTTCTGCCTACCGTAAAAGAAAGATTCTCTGCAGTTTACAGTACAAGCACAAAAAAACCAGCACAATAAAATACCCACAGTATAGTCAAAGCAGCTAAAACTAGAAGCAGATGAACTCCAGATGAATTCACATAACAGCCATTAAAACAGTGAAATCAATTCAAACTCTTCAGGCTCTCTGAAATAGTTCAGTTCAGTTTTTAGTAATTCACAGAAAGCCAGCAATGTGGTAGTCTGGTCAAATTAGCAAAAGGAGGTTGTTCCTCAGTGAGGCTCAGCACCTTCAAACCTCCAACCCACATACCTTGCAATGGGAGGTGGGGGCGGGGGAAATCACCAATGGTTTTGTCTTGGACATAAAGGTTGGATAATTCAAAACTGGTTGCAGAAGTTGTTCCTACAGGTGTCTTGGTGCCAAGCTACTGTATACATATTTATATTTATAAAACCAGTTTTTGAAATTGCATTTGGAAGCCTATTGGAAGCTAGTGAAGATCCAGGGCACTGATGTCATATTCTTTTCATGGCATACATCAGCCAACAGTGGACCAATGCCAGCTTCTTATTGGTATTCAAAAGCAGCCCAATGTAGAACATATTGCAGCAGTCCAGACAAGCCATGTTGAGGCCCTGACTTCTCACTTCAGGTTGGGCTGCTATTGATGCGCCAGCTGTCCATCCAGCAATAGCTACGAATTTAGGAGGATTTGCATTCTTAGAGACAGTATTGGAATTCACAAGGGTATTCATGAAAGATAGTAATATACAAAAAAGAGTAACACAAGAAACTTATAACCATTGGCAAAAGTTTCAAGGCTTTGTATCACATGTTGGTTCATCATGTATATCTGGGAAATCCATAACCAAGAGAGCTGTTGCTTTCCAACAAATCATATTTGATTTGGGCACTCCCTTTGATTCAAGGGGATATTTACATAATAAATAGCCACAAACATCAAGAGCCATAACAGTGAATTTGTTTAGGCCAAGGGTCTTCAAACTTGGCAAGTTTAAGACTTGTGGACTTCAACTCCCAGAATTCCTAAGCTAACATGACTGGAGGACAAATTCTGGGAGTTGAACTCCACAAGTCTTAAAGCTGTCAAGTTTGAAGATCCCTGGTTTAGGCCCTTTTAAAACCATCTAAATTAATCAGCTTCACTATAATTAATGCAGTAAATTCTATCACTTGTATTGCAAAGAAATAATAGTGTAGCTGTGATTCTTTTAGCTGTTTGGGTTCAGCAGCTGAACTCTTAACATTGCAAGATAAAGGGGAGGGGAATTTTGTTCATATTTTCCACACCATCCATAACCTGGTCATATCTGGAGCACGGAGAAGTTTCAGTGCTCCAAAACTTTTTCCTTCATTACTTAAATCTGCCTATCAGAAAGTCCTTATTCAAATATCCCTGTTGTGACTGGATAACAGGTTTATGTGTCCCTAACCAAAGAAAAAACACTTTTATCCCATTTTGTGTAATTTATCCATGTTTGGGAAGCACTGTCTTGTCTTGTCGAAAAGCCAAAATAGTTCTGTTTTAAGTTCTCAACCTTAAATTTTTTTAAAAAAAGATCAAAGCTATGGTTACAAAGAACAAGCCTTGCTACAAAAAAAATTCAAGGCAAATTATCATTTCAAAAGTGAAAACACTCTAGAGATTCCAATTGTCATTTACTACAATACATTTATCATTAACAAATGTTAAAAATAATAATTGTAATTGCCATTGCCATTACATTCTGGTATTTTCTTGTTTCATTGTTAATAACTAAAAGATGGATGAATATAGCTGAAAGTATAAGTAGAGAACTGTGACAGTTCTCTGTAAATCTGTAAATTAATTGTAAATTAATCTTCCACATTATTTGGTTTGGAGCAGGAGCTTTTATAGTACTGAGCACTGAAAAAAAAAAGCTTTTCTGTTAATTTCTGGAAGTTAATCAGTCTTGGTTCCTCTTTGGAGAGATCTGCTATTAGTGTTACCTGTTTATTTATTAAATTTATCTGCTACCCATCTCACTACTAAAGCTACTTGTTCTTTGCATAAACTGACAACTGGCTATTTTCCATATGTCTTTGAACATCTTTTTTTTTTTTAACTTCAGGGATGTGTGGGTTTAAAAGATACATTAACTACCTTCAAATTTCCCAAGTTTCTTTTCGTTTATTGCAGGGGTCTCCAACCCTGGGGCTGTGGCCCACACTACTAGGCCATAACCTATTTGGAATTGGGCCATGTGAGTGGCTGGCTAGAGAAGCTCAACTTGTGTGAGTGGTGGGCCAGAAGACACTTGCACTGTGCACTGGCTTGCTGTTCGCACAACTTGAGCTGTGTACGCATGTACATGCCCACCCTCATGCAGCCCAGTTCCCCTCTCCCCCCCCCCAGCTGGACCAAGCCACAAAGGTTGGGGGGGCACTAGTTTAATGCACTTTGCCACACAGAAGTAGAGTAGAATATTGCAGCTGGCATAGACTGATTGGTTTAATTTGAAATTAATATGTTTTTATGTAACTGATTTCAATTTTTCCCCTGGAATTTTAATTTACTTTATGCTTAACAGAGCACTAATAAATCACGTGATCAGACAGGGATGAAAAATGATGTCAGATTTTTATTTCTCACTCACACATGTCAAAATATCGATGGTCCGTTACTTGCATCTTTTGCGTGGTTCATCTTTTGGAAATTTAGTTCCAGTTTCTGGGGCCTCTTCTGAAGGATATCATCTCCCCATATATGGCATATTAATTAATTGGGTAAAGGAAAGTGAGGGGAAAGAAGAGAATCTGTTTTTAAGGAAGCTGGGATAGAATGCTTTCAATTTTATAATTGTGCTGATAGCCAAGGTTAATATATTTCTGCCCAGGAAAATATCTATCCTCCAGCCAGGGAGGTCAGAATAGTGAATAAATTACAGAACAACCCAAGGTTTAATGGTTCCGTGGGAAAAACCAGCAGCTTTAATGCCATTTGATGTTTCTGATCCTGAAAGTTAATTTAAATCAATGCAATGATATGGGAAATATCTGACTATTATTCAACTTGGGAAGATTGTACAAAACCTCATAACCTTATTATTTGAATTGCTTTGGGGAAAATTGATATTATAGAGAAAAATAAAGCAAGAAAATGGACGTGCATACTTCAGCAGAATATCTATTAAAGTTTACCGAGGATAGAAAAGTACATGAAGAGATTTTAAGATGTGCAAAGGATATGAAGTTTCAAGGAGTAAACATCCAAAGAAGCAAAAATGTCTGTGAAATAAATGTCTGATTTGTTATAGAAAGTCAGAGTTGGGAATGTCAACAGAAACATAATACAAATTCCCACCTGAATGCAATGGGAAAGAATTCCTTAATACTTAATGTTTGACGTCACTGTCAGCTATAATGTAACCAATGTTAGGAAACTGGATCATTTTTATTACGTATTATGTAAGAAATGCAAGTGGAAGATTCAATAGGCGGCTTCCATACTTGGTCAAAGATCTACATTTCTTGTGAACTGTGCAGTGTAACGCTTCTTATTAGGCAACTGTAGCTTTTGACAGGGCCTGTCCGTCATCTTTCCCCCCCCTTTTGATCAACTGCATTTAATTGGTTTTTTTTCCTTTTTTTTGTCTTATAGCACCACCGAACCACCTCTGAGGATTCATATAATTAATGGTTACATTTCTGTGGAACCCCAGCCACGAGGACACAAGCAATCCCGCCATATCCAGGCAGAAATGAGCTCTTCTAGCAGACCCTTTCCAGTCTTCTTCACATTGACTTTTGTGTTGCTTATAATAATCTGTTGAAGGTAGAATGACTCTCCCATATTGAGCTATGTGCCTTTAAAAAGCGGGGGGTGGGAGGTTTGGGGGGGGTAGAGAAAAGGAAAGCATCTTTTTTTCTGAACAGGAAATCATCTGTGTGGATTTTATTCTTTTAGAAGTCATCCTTTTCCTGAATCTGGACCATTAACTTGATTAACTGCTTTGACCATACCCATTGCAGGAAAATATATTTTTTTAATGAAAGCCATTATTTATTCTTCCCTTGCAGAAGAATTATTTCATGTTATCCCAGAATTATTGGGAAATATATATGTGACATAGCTGTTATTTAGCTGTATGGATTTGACTTGAAGACCATTTATTTGGGGGTTGGTTTGTTTCCATGTTGTTTCTAGTTTTATGGTGAAGAAAATGTTCAGCACTTTAAAGCAATAGGAAGAGATTAAAAAGAGTGCCAGATTTACATGTTTCCTTCCTTTCACCTGTTCCTGATAGGCCTTGTTCTCTGGCTGTAACAGCAGTTTCTTCCACTGACATTTTATCCATCCGTTCTTTTTTAAAAAATTCTCTAAGTGCAAATGGGTCTGTTTGACAGTTCAAAAGCTAGTTCATTTTTTAAAAAACAATTACTATTACTATAAGCTATTATTTGTACCCTATTTGACTCCTATTTGAAATAAAGAAGTGCTCCCTACTCCCTGTCTCTTCAGAAAGATTATTAAGTCTTGCCAAAAGATGATGGTGACATGGTGGCTCAGTGGCTAAGACGCTGAGGTTGTCGATCAGAAAGGTCGGCAGTTAGGCGGTTCGAATCCCTAGCACCGCGTAATGGAGTGAGCTCCTATTACCTGTCCCAGCTTCTGCCAACCTAGCAGTTCAAAAGCATGTAAAAATGCAAGTAGAAAAATAGGGACCACTTTGGTGGGAAGGTAACAGCGTTCCATGTGCCTTTGGTGTTTAGTCATGCCAGCCATATGACCATGGAGACATCTTTGGCTCTTTGGCTTTGTAACAGAGATGAGCACTGCCCCCAGAGCCAGAAACAACTAGCACGTATGTGTGAGGGGAAACTTTACCTTTAATATATGACAGCACCTCTTGAGCTGGCAGGGTAATATTAATTCTTCATTTTCTAGGATACATGTGTAATTTTGGGAAACATATCAATTGCCTACCTAACAATGAGAAAGGACATTCAAATTAAATGATGAGAGAGAAGCTGTGCATTCACACACATGCAGAGACTGTTAAGGACCATTGTGAGCTCAGAAGAAACTGTTTCTTCAGTGATTTGGGGGGGGAAAGTATTTATATGTTGGCATGTAGTTCAAAAATATATTTTTCAAAGTGTGTGCATTGCTCTGTTGTTTAAAACAGTGGCCCCCAACCTTTTTTGAACCAGGGACCGGTTTCACGATTATGTATTCTTCCACGGACCAGTACCTGAGTAACGCAAGACTCCACCGCCATCGGGACGGCTCTTCGTTCGAAGCCGCCCCCCCCTCTTCGACGAAACTAAGGCTTAAGCACCCAAACGCCGCTTTCCAACTGAAAACCCGGAAGCACTTTCCAACTGAAAACTTGGAAGCGCTGTCGAAACAAGATGGCGGCACCCAAGCTTTGCGGCCCAGTAAAAAATGATCCACGGACCGGTACTGGTCCGGGGACCGGTGGTTGGGGACCCCTGGTTTAAAAGGCTCATATTCTTTTTTGGGGGGAATGGGTAAATTCAATTACCAATGAAATAAAGAAGTTACCATCTGCAAAGAAATTGAGAAGCATTTTCAGTAGGTAGCAAAGAGGAGATCAGATTAATTGCACTTGAGTCCTGGGGGTGAAAGAGGGTGGACTTCATAGATATGCACCATGAAACAAGAACCAGCAATATAGCCAAGAAGAAAACCCTGGCATTGTAATATAAAGTTCATCAGCTCATATGAAATAATTGTGAAAAAGGTAAATTATAGACACTATGAAGAAATTGATTCAAAAAGAACCACCATAATATCTGTATGTGAATATATTTGCAAGATTGCAACTTTATTCTTCCCATCTCAGGTAAAAATAGATCACTAGAGAAATTGAAGTCACAGCACTTTGATATTTTTTAAATGTGATTTTTAAAAAATAGAACAAAATTGACCAAAAGAAATGAGTTCAGAAGAGAAGAGGGTTATATAATTATATGGAGAACCTAGAGGTTTTTTTTTAAGTGAAGTTCATCTACTGGAAATTACTGTGGCACATTTGCAAAGGAATAGTCTGTTGTAAAATCAGTTGTGATATTGGCTTTGATGACTTTAAACGATGATTTGGCAAATTTATGGAAAATGGCAATATTGAATTACAGATTTTTACAGACTGTTAAACGCTTTGGTTCAATTCTAATACAGGATCCTCAAACCTTCTGTCACTAGATTACATGGATATTTGGTTCTTACGTTCATATTTTTATGCTGCTCAATTCTCTCAAGAGTCCACACATAGGGTTTTTTTTCTCGAAGTCATTCTGAAAATGTATGAAGTATAATAAACTAGTAATAATTTTCTGTTCTTGTAAAGGTATCCACTACCACTGTAGTCCATGATGTTGTCATGTTGCCTGCAAAGGCTTGAAAAAATGTTATAATTTAAATATTGAATTAAGTCTTGGGAATCCATGGTGAAGAAAAGATTGAGAACCTCTGCATTAGTAAATATTTTAGATGATGCAATTTGATCAATTTTTCATGCAAAAAGAAATAATGCTCAGAACCTAACTCAAATCTATCAATACTGTTTACATCCCTTTACAATGCTTGCTTCCTCATCTCTTCTGATTACAATAGATTTTGACCAGAATAGAAAAACTGAATGAATGGTTCAACTGATTGATGACCTGGCAGCTTTAATTCAGATTATGGGGGTGGGTTGACATATGATTAATGGAGATTCATCATTAGCGTACAGTATGAATTTGACTCAAGATACCAAAAGTGTCATACTATGCAAAACACTTATAGATGAATAAACTATGCCTTTTGTCACTTCGGCCTTTTCTTTCTGCTCTGTCTGTACCGTTTAAGCTAGAACACTGTAGCAGAGAACAGTTGTCCCAAAATTAGTGTTAATTTGTAATTGAGACTGTTAATTAGTCTTATAACTGGTAGTTTTTTATGGGGTCTAATTGCAATTATCATGGGTGTGAAAATGAACTCATGCATGGAATGTCATGGGTTCTTTTGGTCTGCTATTTATAATACCACAAAATCAACAATTATAGTTTTCAATATGTTTAGAGACAAAATCAGTAACCTAATTCTAACTTATTTGTGCAAAAACGTTTGAACCGTATAAGCAAGACTGAAGAAAAGGCAATGTATAACTCTCCAGATTGGAAAGGGATCTTCAGGCTCCTATCCTTCTCCACTCCTCCTTCTCTTCCAGTTTCCCGCCTCCCCTCATTTATCTCCAGCTTTCCTCTTCAAACCATGTCAACCTAACCAAGGAGCTGGAACCTAAATTTGACAAATGATACAAGATCAGGGCTTGTGGGCACCATTTGTAAAGACTTCTTTGCTATAGAGAATCAGGATGGAGCAGGATTTCACTTATAGTAAAACTTTGAAAAGAAAAGGCTGATCACTAAAGCAGGATGGATTGATTCTACACTGGCTTGTATCACTTGAATTGGGACTAGAGAAGACTAGAAAGATGAATTGGGAGTAGCATCATTCTGAATGACAAGAAATGGCACACTGACATTGCAAAAATTCAAAAATAGACTGTCAAGTTTCTATGAGTAAGTTTGGAACAATAGAAGACATATCAATCTTCCAAGTTAAGTAATAAATAGCTAAGTGTGAAGTTTATTCTAGTAATCATGGTACAGAGAGAAAAGCTCATGTATGTTTAATGCTATGCCTGTTGCCTTTTTTTAATGAGACTATGAGTCACATTTCTCAGGAGTGCTGCACATATATTTTACTCAGCCTCTTCCAATAGTGACAATTAAATAGCAAGACTGTGTATTAGGAAAATCTTGAGAAAATAAGGGAAATTGTTATTAAAAATGGTAATCTCAACTATGCATCAACTGAATAATTATGTCATAGTATTTTTTTAATCAGTTTTTAAAAATAAACTGATTATGCATCAAGTTGTTTTCTCCTAGCAATCATAGATAGATTTTCTCCATGACAATACATCCCTAACTTCTTATTTCAGGTTTCCCAATAATGTACTCATTGCCACTCTTAACTGTTCATCCACCTTTTAAAATTAGACACTTTAAGTCAGAGACGGCAACAATAATTAAGTTTTAAACCATACCTAAAACAGTATTTCTCAGCTATGGCAACTTTAACATGTGTGGACTTCAATTCCCAGAATTCTCTATTCCATACATCTTAAGGTTAACCAATGGTGGAAAATGTATGGCTTGGCTGCTGCCCTGATGATTAAAGTATATATTATTGTATATAAAAATTGCCAAGGAATTCCATGTAGTCAAACACAATGAGGGGTTTGGTAAAAGGAGAACTAAAACCAACATTCAGGAGACAATAGAAAGCAAACCATAGTAAGTACCCATAGGAGCTCCATTACAATGTGTTCATATGGTAAGACACCAAGTTCAAGAACTCGGCAGTATAGTTAAAAAGTAATGACAAGAATGGGAAAAGGTCTGGAGAAAAAAAATGGAACTTTGTTACTATATATGTTGACAGAAGCAAGACTATTTGTATGCACAAAAATGGAAGGACACTTGGATTCCTACCATGGATGAATGGATGCAGAAGCTGATGGTGTTGACTGAAATGGCAAAATTGACTAGTTTGATTAAAGAAAAGAATATAAATATTTTTGTTTCCACATGGAGACCACTTCTGAACTTACTGCTTGAAGTGGAAAAGAATGAAACTTTGATTTTGGGTTTTACTGATTAGACAGATAGATACTTATAGAAATGGCTAGTTTATATCATTATGAAAAAAAAACAAAAAGTTGTGATTTGATGTCAGTGCCCTATGTTACTGCAACAGAGTCAGAAGTCAATGCTTCTTTTTCCTTTTCCTAATCCTTCCTCACTTTTCTTTACCCAATTCCTCCCTATTATTTTCCTATTGTATTTTGTATCTTATTTTATCTTATAACTCAATAAAAATGTTAACCAGGAAAAAAGTAATGACAAGAAAACAATGAAGGAATGTTGGGTTTTAAAAGAAAATAGACATCCTGTTCAAGAGGGATACTTTTGAAAAAGAAATGTATACCTACAATACATCTATACATACCTATCACACTATTCCCTTTAGGAAAGCAATGTTACTGAAAGAAACAATAAAAAATAAGCCAAAGATATTAAGGCAAGAAATAAAAAAGAATTCAGTCGAATCTGTTCTTATCACCAAGCCTATCCACTTTTCTAGCTTTACAAACTATCCTTGTTTCGATCATGTCCTCATTTATTTATTTTTATCCTGCTTTTATTAAAAAAAAAACTAATTTAAATACTCCCCCCTCCTCCTATTTTCCCCATTACAATTCTGGTGGGTTGGGCTGGGAGAAAGCGCCTAACTAGCCCAAGGTTACTCAGCTGGCTTTCATGCATAAGGTGGCACTTGAACTTATAGCCTCTAGCCTGGACATTGCTTTCTGTTCTTTAAACTTTAGCCTCTTTTTGAGGATTTCATCTCTCTTATCAACCACAACTTTCTTTTTCCCTTCCCTTCCAGTCATTCTTCATCACATTTGTTTTGTGATTCAACTTAATTTTTCTATAGGGCACACCCCCTTGGCATATATCTTTCACACTAGTCATTACATTTTGCCTTCAGTGAAGATTTATTGCTGGCCTTTTCTTGTTTTACACATTTCCTAAATAACAATTTCTGCATTCAAATTTTCTTTCTGCACATTCATAAATCACCTAATAGCATTCTATTTAGTTTCATGCTCATATACTGAGCTCTCGTTTCCATGTAACAGACAAAATGCATGCTGTTTACTCTTAAATCACTTTGCTTCTTTTATTATTAACTATTATGGCCACCCACCCTAGAAGACTCTGGCTTTTGTCAAACATTTATTCTTTGGAGGTTTTTTTTAATCACTTCAATATACTGAAAGAAATTTTTACAATTTCAAAAAAAGAAAAATATTAATTATTAAATCTGACCACATGGGAGAAATATTGATAATTTTTTTAAATAAAGCAAACTAAGATTCAGGTGACAAGCAGCAAACACATTTCATCAGTTTACTATCTGAGGTAGCTCTGTGCACTTAACTCCTCTGGATTTGTTACAAGCCATCCTTGCCAAAAATTCCTTTCTTCAATATTCTTCCACACCTTTCCATCTTCCTGACCATTTGAAGAGTCACATTTACAAGACTTTGGGAAGCTGCGCTCAACCACAAGTATAGCCTGCGCTGGCACTAGATGTCGCTCAAGCGATGTGAAAGACTAAAACAAAAAAGTTTCTTCACTAAACTGGAAAACCCTATGCAAGACACCATGAATTAGGCACTTAACCTTGGAGCAAAACATGAATAGAATATGCGACGCTTTGCAGAGCTAGTGGAAAAACTGATTAGAGAGCTGTATATCCACCTACTTCTCTGCCTTTGCAATAGATGGGGACGATCATACTGTGCAGTATTTGGAGATGTATTCTATCAACGCAACGAAATCTCATTTTAATGTGTGCTGATTAGTGTACATTTAAAGTGACAAGGCTATTATATTGTATTCTATTGTATTCTAATTCTATTCTAATTCTATTCTATTCTTATTGTATTCTATTGCATTGCATTCTATTCTATTCTATTCTGTTCTATTCTATTCTTATTGTATTCTATTGCATTGCATTCTATTCTATTCTATTCTATTCTATTCTATTCTATTCTATTCTAT